CCTCAGTTGCTGTTAGTGCAGTAGCGGTTAGACCCGTCATATTTGGCGAGGTATCCGTGATCAAGCACACTTGCTTGATTCATATTTATATCATAAAGAACCTTTGCAATACAAGCCTTATCGGTGGGGGATGATGCGTTGACGGAGTAGCTCGGATGGACCAACGTACTGGAGCTTGAGCTACTTCCAGACCCAATGGCCCCCGCTTGATCCTTCGACAACGGTGTCTCCCACCCGAGGACCAGGGTGTCATTTGCTTGCAGTGCTGCCGTGATGAGGCAAACTCGCGTGCGGTCCTCTTTCGTCATACAGATGCTTGTGCGCTCTCTTCGTGTTCAATCGAGCACAAGCTAGCGCAATGAAGTGCCACCACTGTCATGCGACGACGCGCAGAGACAAAACGTCTTCGCCCCGGCAAGCCATCTTGGTTTCCACGTGCCTTCGTACAGCTGAAGAGCAATGCAGCTTGCTGGTCGCACACATACATGTATGTGCATTGCCATCATGCTACCAGAAGCCTCCACTTAGGAGAACACGCCCGAAAAGCAGAGGTTCCTAGCGTTGGGGTTGGCTGCTTGAAGCAATGCACCAATCAAAACGAATTGCTGCTGCATCCTATCGCTGGGATTACTTTTTACTGACGTTGAGTTAAGCCATGTCGCATGATTCCGTCCAAAAGAGGATTTGCTAGTCAAGAGCCGTTTGGCGACAATATCAACAGCTTTGACTAGGTACTTTCAATATCAACAGCTTTGACTACTGTAGGTACTTTCAACAATTGGCTTCGAGGTACACGTAGGAAGGGCTCAAATATCCTGTAACCACAGTGTCGGAAGGTTGGCGGATACCCTACTTGTACGGCTTGGTTGTTCATTGCTCGATCAGATCGAAACCTCGGCCGACGCGTGTTTAGTCTTGGGGAGCCCTGCGCGTGTTCAGTGCTTTTGACAACACTTGAACGTTGTGAATCTCGTGCGTCGAGACAAATCACGGCGAACGAATTGCTGCACAGAAGTTCATTTGCAATGCAAATGACTGCAGTCTGCAGTTGCCGCTGCGTTGAAGCTTTTGCAGATTCAACTCGCGTGTCGTGTCTACGGCCGCTATTCAACTCGGTCATTTGTCAAGTTACTTGAGTACGCGCCGGGAACGACTGGTGCTGGGGGCCCTGCCTACCGGGTCGGATTAGACTGCGTGTTGCGCAGCGCTCTTCGCTCCGTCGTCGCCACTCGAACGACCAGGGTTGAGAGCTGCGATAAAACAAATTGGTTTATTGCCGGAAATGTATTGCAACCGAAAGGAGAGATTGCATGAAAGCTAGATATTGCAATACCCACTTGGAGTGGAAGCTGTAATACTCAGCTGGAGCACTGATCTACAGAATTCGTTGATTTTCACGATCCTCAGCGTGTGCCTCTCTGGCTACAAGCTTTGAATCCCAGAACAATCGGTTTGTCTTGAGGAACATGATAGCTTCGATCATGACGATATGGGTTTTCGGTCTGTGCTGACATGCTTGGCAGAGCTGAACAATCTCTCAACGGCACGGATGTTCTCTTCAAGAAGTGCAAGTCCTCATACTACGTAGTATGAGGTAGTCCGCATCATTCTCAATTGTTTGCATTCTTGCAGTGCCTGATAGTAATTCGTCGTCTCGCTGAGATAATACGCCGAGGCTCCGGTGCTTGTCAAACCTCTATATAGAGCGAGGTGAGCTTGAAGGAACGTTGAAGTGAAGTATTGCAACAAAAATTACAATGTCCAATTGCAGAATCCTCGCGTATGGCAATGCTCAATTGCAATCGACAAGCTAACTGCAGTGTAAACTGCAATAGGGCGTATTCCAAGAAATCGATGCAGCTTGATTTTTTCCCCTTGTCTGCTCTGGACCCTTCGCTTTGGCAATTGTGGTGCATCTCCAAAGTTGACACCATGCCCTTACTAGCACCAGCTAATTCGAAGCACGCTTGCCATTATGAGCAGTAGCATTATTTCGTGGGTTTAATCTCACATTGCAACGAACATGGCATGGGTTCCACCCCATCCTACGTTTACATAGATCACTATTGACCTGTTACCTACGAATCGTAGCGTCCAACGGATTATCGGATATTCGTCTTGGCGCAAAAACCGTAGACTTCATAGTAAGCAGTTCTTACCGCATCATTGTTGCAGCACTCGAGCGCAGGGCGGATGTTCGTAGGTGGTCCGCCCTTCAAGGCGTTATCAGGAAAACGCTGCTGCATGGACACGCGGCACCGGCATGACTCAGCTTTTAGTCCATGTAAATTTTATTTCTACCACAAAAAGAGCTTGATGCACTATTGGAGCCCAAGCAATGAAGAATAATCTAATGCAGCGACGGACGGTTGGACATGAAAACACAAACAATGGCCACTTCGTTATGCGTGTCATTAGTAGTAGGTAATACGTGTAGCTGCTTATACATAGCTGGAAATGCAAAGTTGTAGATCATCGGTAGTTTTTTCAGCCATTATTTGAGACTCAAAACTGTTTGGCAAAGTAGTGTTTGAAACACTTTAACAGCCATATTACCTGATACGACTTTCGGTTGACAGTTTTCTATACTAGACTGCGAAAGCGTAGACCAACATGCGTAGCCTAAGAGTCTTCCATTGAACGACACACGCAAAAATTGTTTTTCAGCAGCATGGCATCAGTTTGATGTTAAGCAAGCACTTGCTTCATTCACAACTGATGCCTTCCACGAGCACCAGGTAGAGATTGTCATCCATAATGTGGTCCATTCTCAACCGGCAAGGCCACCGTTCACAGGGTCGTCGCTGCTCATTGTCGGAGACTGCTTGTAGTAAAATAGTCTGATAATATTTGCTTTGGTCCGAGACAAATTCAAAACAGCGCAAATCACAAAATACTCACAAGTGATGATTTGCACGTCGAAGTCGGCAACTTCAGTAAGTCTTCAGGCTTGGCAGAAGCGTTTTGCTCTCACACTGTGAGTCACCGGACTAACGGCCTGCTGTGAACGCTGATGACCTGGATGCTTCCTTATTGAGCACGCTGCATACACATTCTCTGGCAACGTATGAAACGGAAGGATGTGTAGACAATTAAAAGCGTATAACTGATATTATCTCGTTGCATTTGGCTCTTCCTACCGAGCAGGACTTCTTTTGAGATGTTACGGATTGCCGCGATGGCGCAATAAATTAGGCAAGAAGTAGGTCGATCGACTCCTGCACGTCTTGTCGGTAGGCGTCGTCGGCCAGAACTTGCTCGAAAGACATTTCGGACGTGTATGGCAGCGGCTCCAACTCGCACAGCAGTGGGTCCATATCAATGTCCATGTCCAGATCAGCGAAGCTGACGGGACTTGAGCTGCTGATGCTGCTATCTACGTCGCTTGCCACGGGGCTGCAGTCACCGGTCAGAAGCTGCCCAAAGCCGCAGCTCAACGGCGACATGGCACCGACCGGAAAGGCAGACGGCGAGCGCGGAGAGCCCTGCACTGTAAAGTTCTTCACACGCTGGATGCAGCCTGTGGCATGGGCATCCACGCGGTGCTCGGGGCGTACGAATTTCTTCTTCTGTTTGCGCAGGCCGCGTCGGCGGCGGTTGATCTTCTGTTGGTACTTCTGCGCGTGTGTCTGCACCTGCTTGATGGAGCGCGTGCCAATAAAGGCGGCGATAGAGCGCCATGGTCCCGTCGGGAACATCTTCATGGCGTGCAGGAATTGTTCGTGCTCCTGCTCAGACCACAAGCCGCGCGTGATCGGCGTCGCGGGCGCAGGTGGAACGATGACACTACCTCCGTGGGGGCTGGTGGGCATCATGATCATGGCGGTCGTCGCTATGGTTGCTGTGGTGTTGCTGCTGCGGTGTGCGCGGCTCGAGCAAAAATCGGAAATGGGGCAGGCTCCGATGTGATTGATGTGGCCGCTGGTCACTTTTTTAGCTTAGCTATGCCATGACACGCCGTGGCCCTTCTGCGTGCGAAAACGGGGGATGGGCTTGTCTGAGAGAGAGTAGGGGTAATTTATGGCTCAGCTCCGTCCGTGGTGGAATGATTGACCAATGGCAGCTGGGTATCCCGCGTGGCTCGTCTGTTCAGTTCCGGTACAGTCGGACGCGGTATCTCAGCGCGCTAAATTTATCAGTCGGTAATTTACGAGCAAAGTGAAGACGCGGCAGCAGCGACAATGAGGTTGAAAACCACCGGCAGGTAGAGCATTGACAGGGGTTCTTGTGCCGCCAGCGGCTGCTTTTCAACTCCGCCATGCGAAACCCTTTGAATGCTGAAAACAGTTTTTAGTGGCGAACCACCACCAGGCGAATTGCCTGCGGGCCAGTTGCGGCCCTCGCAGTAGGCTATCCAGTCTATGCTACAGTTAGAAAAATGCGTGTGCTGCTTCGGTGAGTCAATAACAATATTTGGCCTCGCTGAGATCTGCTGCTGCTGTCAGTTGCAGCAATAAGACTCGCAGACATAACGGCCACGTCAATGCGAAATGCATACCACGAAGTCTCCGCTGAAAGCACTAACCGATGCAAGAATGGTCTGGCTGCAGCATCTCACGACCGCGGCTGCGGCGCAAATAGCATGTAAAGGCCGAGATCGGAGTATTTTCGCGTTGATGTTCCTCGTACGCGTATGTTTGCTCGCGAGATCACTCGCAAGTGGAATCACTTAGCGAGGATACTCGGGACTTCCTGCCGACCGCTGTCTTCGTCACTCGAGTGCAGATGTCAGAAAGCTTGGTTCAAAGTGTTTGCTTCTGGTTGGAACGGCCTAGCTAATCGTACAGACAGCAGCATATCCAGCGACCCGATGTCTTATCGCATATGTCGCCTCTCAGTCTGAGCCATGCGCTGCTTATACAGTTCTTGCGTTGCCGATAGCCCTGGAAATGCAAGTATCTGCTGGTTGCTGACCTGTGAGGATACCCTTGACTAATTCCTGTAAAACCAACTGCGGTGGCCCCAAATTGATTTTTAAACCAGGTGCCATCTTGGAAGTGGTAGCGCGGCCGCAATGCTTACATCTATCACTGTTGAAGTCATCAACATAAATTTCATTCAATTTTTTGGCAAGAAAATAAATAACTTCGAAAGCCTCTATACTTGCATATATGCGACACACTTATTCCACAGAATAGTCGAGCGTGTTGGCGGTGCTGCTCACAGAAAAAGACTGAAGGTCGCAGGCGTTGAAGTTGCCTTGACCAACGGCACTGCTGCGAACTCACGCACTTGCCAGTGCCGTCCCAGCCCGATACCAGTACTCGGCCTGCGAACATGACTTCCGCCGGCGCGCGCGACCTTCCTTCGGTCGGCTTCGTTTCTCAGGCTTTTCTTTTTTCTTCCTTTCGCTTGGCTCGCTTGGTTTTTAGTCAAACCAGAGTTGCATGAACGGCATCAAATTGCTGACTCCCACTCAACCAGAGTTCGCCGAAGTCAATGAGCTGGTTGTGTATGAGACACCGGTCTCGGGTCGCTGCATGCGCGCCGCAGCGTGATGAGACCGGCGCGCGCGGGTAACACACATTGGGAAGCGCGGCCGCGACGGGCTGCGACGCACGCCGGCTCTTCCAGGGAATGATCGCTCGGCGAAAATGCGAGCTTTTTCAATTTTCAAAGTTTCAGGCAGCTATCCATTTGTGATTGGATTCCTGTCCCCCAAATTGAGTGGGTTTGCATACACGATGCAAAAAATGCAACTCTCAGTGACAATGGCAATGAACAGCATTGCCGGCAAACGGATCCGAGACCGTAACATGTGAGCGCTGGCCGTGAAAAAATGCTAGACATGAGAACGCCAATTAACTTGCCGCTGGTTTCGATTCAGGCGTGAGTCAAGCGGGGGTTGCAGTGTTACCGCCTCGACACTTGTCCAAAAACGAACTTCGAAGTCTTCCATCGCGTTCGCGAGACGAAAAAAACCTCGAGAAAAACCTTAGGATCAGGGGTAATAGTTAGTGCTTCAGCGTTCGCAGCCCCCCGCCCATCTCCACAAAGGAGGACCAAATCTTTTTTTGTGGGCCCAAAGCAAATTTTGCGAAGGGTATCCGCTGCAACTATCGGCGCGTTAGCTCAGCGGCTCCAGCGTCTCTTAATGCAATGCTGGGTGTTGGTCGGTCTCATGTCGGACGCCGCGATGCAGATCATGGCTGTCTGTGACAACTTGGCAGTCACTGACATGAGGCTCATGCCAACGTGGCATCGCCGTCCATGCTGCAGCAGCTCGAGGGTCGAGTCGGCCCGCAAGTAGTGTATGTTACAAGATGCAATTTCGTGACCGAGAGCTGGAGACTGCACTGAAGTGCAGATACAATGGATAAATTTGATAAATGACATACAATACCAGCGACGAACAACCCAGGGTAACGGTGCTTTTGGATACAGAGCCGACCGTGGCGCTGAACTGCGAGGCTCAGATATGTGTGCACGCAACCTTCGGCGGCTGGCGTGCATGTCTTATGCTTGGAGAGATAGAAGATCACTTGCTGACGTAGGGATTGAGGCCATCGCGAAGGTTCGGCGTTGATCGAGTGCGAGGTTGCCTGTTTCCCGAAAACCGAAAGCCGACCACAGGGCTGTCCATCTGAGCCGTCTGCCTCAAGGTCAAGTTGACACAACTGAACCAGACCACGGTAACGTCGGCCGACTTCCTGTGTCTCAAGTGCGGCAAGCCGTTGAAAGACTTATCGTTAGTTTAAATTGGCATTAAATCATTAGTAAGTCGGCCGAGACAGAACCTCGCCCATCAAGCAGCAGCCGACTTCCGCTGCTTCTTGACCGGTGGCTTGTTCTCCTCGCCGTTCACTTCGTCTTCCTTCGGCGCCTCCTCCTCTGTCAATGCCACGCTCCTTCTCTTTAAACTTTTACGTGCTTCTGCCGCCGCAGCGCGCCTGTCAATCTCAAACTCAAAGCCTACGGGTGTCGTGAGCTTCGGCCGTCGAACAGCTGGAACGCCGACGCCCCCACTGGCCGAAAGCGCTCTGGAGAACTGGTCGCTCTTACCCGGCGCCGCTCCGTGGGTCGTAGCATTGTGATACTTTTGCGTTTTGCGCTTTTGGGCCTGTACTCGTTTGCGGATGGCTGCGATCTCTAGTAGCTCCCGGGACGTCCGTGTTAACATGTCAGCGCGAGAGCGGACTGCAGCCTTCTTAATCTTGTGAAACTTGGGCGACTGCGGGATCGTCAAATGCCCGTTTTCCTTGGCCACCCGCGCCAGGCGACGACGCTTTTGTGCCACCTTGCGCGCCTCGGCCAGCTCCTTGTCCTTGCCAGTCAGCACCTTCTTCCTTGAGGCAGCCAGCGATGCTTTGGTGGGCTTTAGCAGACGGTCAGTGGATGATATTGCCCGTACTCTGGGCACGGGGGCGGGGGCGCCACGGAAGATGGCGTCCGGGTCTTCGGCGTATACCGGGCGCTTCGTGGGTGCCATCGTCCACAACGCTGCTTTTCTCGAACTGGCGGGAGACGATGCATACAAATTGTAAGTCACTTTTTCAAAAGCAAAAATAGTTTTGACCAATCAAGATAGGTCATCTTCGGCCAATGATGCACATCTATTTTCTGAAGCGGCTTTAACATTGAGCATGCGCCCTGTACCTCCTGCTCGATCTCGACGCGCTGCTCCGCTCCAGCAAGATAATGCCGATGCACCTTGTGCAGTACAGGCGCTGCATGTTCTAATCCCGCTCAAACCGCAACAAACGCCGACTGCTATGCCTCCCAGATTGACTCAAGCAGTCAAAGATGAATTTGCTATCTGCTACCTGCAGCAGATTGGCGCCAACTCCACTCCGGAGAACATTGCCATGGTGTTGCAACACTTGCCAGTGGAGAAATGTGCAGTATCAGCCGCCTGGAAATCACGCGGATCATTGGCCGACGTCTTGGCAATTGACTTGAACCCGAAGTCGCTGACTCAAGTTGGTGAATCTCAAGTCAAGCTAGAAGAGAGATCTGCTACCCAGCCAAGCAGGACGGATGGAACCCCAATACCACTATTATCGCCGAGACGACAGCTTCATGGTCAGCACTCTTTTCAAATCGGCACGGTTTGCTTCACTTTTGACGATATGAAGCGTAAGTTTTTGCTGCCGTTCAAGTTGGCCACGGTACCACCTGAACTCGACGTATTACAGCTTTTTGGAACTCATTTAGAGACTGACACAAACTTGGTAGATATGCTGTCGCCCAACCAAGTTAAACAACTTGGCGCTGCGCCTGACTCACCGACAGCTCGAAGCGCTATCGCCAAATGGGAGGCACAGCGACAGCTCAAATCTGTAGACGAACGCAGTGTACCGCCAAACGCCAGCGCAGAAACAGTGTCTGAAATGCACATCGAGTTCTACCTTACCTTGCCATTGGCTTTATTAGGGCTGCCCGAGAGCGACGAAGGCACACGAACTGTACTATACGAGACGCTACTAAGCCCCGCCATGATTGAACTTGTTCAGAGCACTGTGCAGTACCTCTTCCTCACGGTGATTCACCCGCAGTCTACAAGGGAGAAGAGGCACACCAGTACCGAGAAAGACGATCTCTTTGTAGCCATCGCGCAGCGTTTCACTCTGCTTAGAACCAAGATGGAGCGCAAGCAGCGATCCTCGCCTCGACAGCTCGCAATACTCGTGCCTCTTTTGCTACTTGCCCTACGTGTGGATATAGAGACATTTGTTCGTCTACAGTATCCGATAAGCTTCTCCTGTGCCGCTGAAGAGATGACTCAACTACTACAAGCTATCGACACTCGGATCACGCAGTTATTAGACGCCGATGCCAACTGGAGTCGTCTAGCTGTGCTGGAGACTACGCACGAGGCCAGCCAAGCCCGTGCATCGTCTTCCTTTCAACGCGCACGCCGACATCGACGCCTCCGCGACCAATTTTACCAGACTAGCGCAGTGCTGCATGGCCTTTTCCCAGATCCTTCCTCAGGCAAGTCCCGCCGTCTCATGGCTCTACGTGGGGGTGCCAGGATAAGCCACTACCCAGACCCTGTTCGTACAGCCAAGCAGGAAGAATCTCGTCTATCAGACGTCCCTGTAGCTTCCAAACTCTCTCTCCTCCAAAGTCTTCGACGCTCCCAACAAACCTAGTTAAACACTGTACGAAATCATAGCAAATGGAAAGATCGTATTTTTCTCAAAAGCTCAGAAAATGAAGTTAAAATGCTACCAGCGTCAATTGGAGAGGCCTTTTGATCCAATCTGACAGGCCTCTTTACTTGTTGAGCTGCTCCCAAAGCTTATCCACGTCGCCACGCGAGTTGGCGACGACGCTGCGGCCGTCCATGGTGATGACCTTGCCTTCTGCGTCCACAAAGACCAGCATGGGGATGCCGGTGACGCCGAACTTGGTGCTCATGGCCTGGTTAGCCGCGCGCTCCTCGAAGGGCAGCGCCAGGAAGGGCATCTCGCCGAAGTACTCGGTGTACTGCGACGGGTCGCGGTCGGAAGAGATGAAGATAAGCTCGAACTCCGGGTGCTGCTCGATCATGTCATCGTACACAGCGCTCAGGAACGGCGTGAACTGGCGGCACGGCGGGCACCAGTGCGCACTGAAGTAGAATCCCACCACCTTCTTGCCGGCCAGCTTGTAGTCCGTGTCCTGGAGGCCGTCCTTCGTCTGGAGCTTGGCGCCTAGCTGTTCCGACCACTTCATGCTGTATTCGTTCTGGGGGGTTGACTGCGAGAACTTTAGTGAGCTGAGAAGTATTGCGGATCTAATTGGTACAGTATCGTGACGGACACAATAGTGTGAGGAGAAAATTGACGAAACATGATACTGAAAGCAAGTGATGCTACTGTGATTTTTGCCACGTGGATCAACATCGCCTTCGGACAGGCAAAGCGACTGTGTTTCGTAATCAAGACTGTGATCCAACAAGTACCGTGGTGGACAACTTTATGAAATGTATGAAAAAATAGCAGTACATTCGTCATAATGGTCCTTTATGGAGGTGACGTCCGCACATGAATGCCCCGCTGTTAGAACGTCAGCAACAGCAACTTTATACGAACGCATTCCGAACGACTTCTGTATGATGTGTGCACGTCTGTCTGGATTGCATCTATTCCTCCGCAGTCGCCTCCTTCTCAAGCTGCTTCTTGGCGTTCTCGCGCGCAAGCTTCTTGGTCAAGTGGCGGTTCAGCGGCTTCTTGGACGGGTCGAACTCACGCAAAATCACGGTCAGGTGGGTGTGCGGGTGGTGCATTACACCCGAACGGCCTACAATAAAGCAGCAACAGCAACAATAGCATGAATTGGTCAGTTAACCTGCAGCAGAACACCATGCAGCTACCAAATGCGCACCTCGGCCCATGATCCGCAGGCGCTTGAGGTAGGTGCCCTTGTTCACAAAGCATTCGGCCACCATGAGATTCTCTGGTTCAATCTGGTACTTGATGTCGGCCAGGTTGATGGCGTTCTGCACCGTCTTCTGGAAAATCTCAGCCTTGCGTTTGGGCGAGAACTTCATCTGCAGAATGGCCTCGTTGGCCGGAAGTCCGCGGATCTGCTGCGCCAGGTACGTCAACTTGCGAGGGCTGGCGCGGATTGCGCGCTTAACGGTCTTAACGGTGCGCGGCTCTGCGGGAGACGTAGAGCTCAGGAAAGCGGCCGTATCGTCGTCCACCGCAGCGGTCTCACCCTCCACAGCGGTCGTGGAAAGCGTTGCCCGGGCCACGCGTCCCATGAAGGCGCTTCCCGCGGCAGGGCGGAGCGTCAGGGCGCCCATCTGCGAGCGCAGCGAGGCGAGCATCTTGTCAAGTTGCCGAGGTTATTGAGCTCTTTGCCTGCCACACATCGACTAGGATTTGCAAAATCGATACTCTGTCGTCAATCGTTTTCGAAGGGTTTCTAAATGCAACATGGCTACACATGTTGAAGTGGAACACGAATGCCAGAGGCTCTTTACAAAAGGCTCTAACTAATTATTGACGGAGTGTTACGCTCGCTAGGTAGGACTTGATAAAATGACTTAAATGTGTCCTGCTTGGAGCCCTCATTATTCTCAACACGCCTGCCTTGTCTGTTTTGCTTCCCACGTCACCACATGCAAATAACTTCGGCTGCTTTTCTCACGCAAACGGCGACGTGGTACGCGTCTTCTTGTCGGAGATCCAAATGCGCAACTTCTCTAGGTTCTCGGTAGGTCCATCGTATCCCTCTTCATCGCCGCTGCCATACGCGCCAGCACTCATTCGATCTACACTCGCACGACCTGCGGCGTTGATTTGATCCACTTCGTCCGGCAGCCACTCAATATTCACCTCGATATCGGTTCGGTTAGACACCAGCGGCATCAAATATGACACGAATCGCTGGCGAGCCGCAGGCGGAAGCGATGGGATCTCGATACCCCGCACTGTGATTTTGGCTGCAGCCGTACCCACCACAATATTAGCAATCCACTCGCCAAGATACTCAAACTTATCCGGTCGTCCCTTGCAAATATCACGGCGAAGTGACAGGAGGAATTCGGGCGTGAACTGCTTGCACTTCTTCTGTAGTTTATACTGCACGATGGCCTCGCTCAGCGCCTGCATCTGTTCCGTGTTCTCCATGCCGTGCGTACCCAGATCATAGCACTCGCTACACAAATTGTAATTTGAGCATACGCTGCAAGTCCACAGCGCCCCCACGATCGGGTCCATACCACAGCCATCGCAGAACGAGTTCTGATGCACGATCGTTTTCTTGCGCTTCCACTTCGAGCCAATAATGGACGCTCCTTGACTCATAGCTGCACCGAGACGCCCCATAAGTGGCTTTGCAGGTGAATGCTTCTTATCCGGCAAACTTTTGGACTGCGCAGCATCCTTATCGTGCAAGTCACGCTGGAACACGAGCGTACGCGGTACAGTAGACGTCTGAATGATCTCAAGCACTTGCTCCTTCGTCATGTGCGGTTCAATGTGCTGGCCATTCACACTGATCAAATAGTCGCCTACTACCACACCGCCACGCTGTGCAGGACTTTCCTTCTCCACACTCTCGACCTCGACCAATAGCTCGTTCTCCAAAGACACGACGACATTCGTGTTGAAGCCCAAAACTGGCTCTGAAAACGTCAGAGTGTATGTGTTGAGAGGGCGTTCCACAAAGTCTGCCTCAGACTGCGAACGTAGTCCAGACTTGGAGTCTGGAGCGTGGATCGCGCTTGCGCTCGACGAGTTCCGGCCCGAAGACTCGCCGCTACTAGTGACACTGCCTGAGCTCGCTGCGATCACTGACGATTCGCTCACGAAGCGAGGTGGCTTATCGTGGAGAGCAACGCGACGCAAACTGTGCAACGAACGAACTGAAGCCGGGTCACCTGCCACACTTGGACCCAAGAAGCGATGCGAAGTAAACTCGTCCTGACCCTCACCAAAGTCTGCAGCGCCGCCGTAACCGAGAGGTGTACCCAGGTCGGCTCCTTCCTCGTCGTCTTCACCTCCAACTGCTTCCTGATCATCACTGTCGCTCGCCTCGTCGTCAATATCATGATGCACTAAGTTCAGTGGGGTCGGACGTTTCGGTGATGGGATCACCAGCTCCACCTCGTGGCACTGGACTTCCTGCTCCTGTACTTTCAGCTCCACTTCGTGAACCTGTACCTGTAATTTGTCCATTTCTTCAATACCGACAGGCTCAGCATTAGGGGACGATGGCGATGGTGGAGACGCTGTAACCTCATCCTGTACAATCAGCTCCTTTTCCACTACATCGTCCTCATATGTCTGATCAGGAGGGAGCTCCACAGGTGTGGTAGGCTCTGAGTGAACTTCCACGGGCGTTGTAGGCTCTGGGTGTGCTTCTGTGGGGGTCGTTGGTTCATCAACTGGTGTCTTTGGGGCTTCCACGGGCGTTGTGGGCTCCTGAACGGGTGCTACCACCTCGTGCTGCTTAAGCGGCGGCTCCTCGTCCTCATCGTCACTGTCTGTTCGCGCCTTGTCGGACTCGGCGCCATCTTCGTGCGGCTTCTGGAGCTCCGTTTGCTCCGCTACTGGACTCTTCTCCTTCTCCACCTCCGCCACGTCGTTCTCAGTGGGGGTGGACGGACTCATCGCAACGGTCGTTGGCTCTCCGATGGCTCGAGGTGACTCAGCGTGGGGATTCACAGGCGACGCAGCGCTAGCCGACGCCTCCATCTTCTGCCTGCTGCTCCGTGTAACGTATTGTGAAGAGCCACTTGCGTTCAGTATGGAGATTCCGTCGTCCATTTGCTGGCAAGATAATCGACAATTTTACAATCTCGACAAACTAGATACCTATGTATACGTGTTTATCAGATGTAAATAGCAAACTGATTCAGGGCATGCTTACAAAATTTGACCGAATTATCTGATAAGTCTTTATATGGAATTTATTATCAAATTTAGAAAACAAAGTTCTGTAAAATTTTGGGTGAAAAAAAAAAACATGCTAAATGTCGTTTTTGCCTTCAATCCTCACCACGGTTTAGCACAGCGGCGAGCTAAGCATATGGCCGACATCGCATGGTGGGGGCGAAGTATCGAGCCGACGTGGACACGAACGGCACCACATTCGCCTCCGACTAGCCATACGTGCTCGGTGACATTTGGGAAGACGGTTGTTGTCTCGAAACCAAGTGTGCTCAATAGTAGGAACTGCCGATGGGCGAAAGATAAGGAAGCTCGCAACATTTCGTGTAGACGCTCACAGAGCAACAGTTATGCACGTGTAAATGGAGATCCAAACGTTCAGTGTTGTTGAGCAAATTGGGCCCACAGGAGATGCTATTCCTCCAATCACTGCGTTATATTCGTGTAAAACTTTAACTTGTACACGAGCCGGAAACTTGTAAGGCTTACCTGCATTTCTGCAGTATGCTCACTTCAGTAGAGATCTTAGCAGCTCGAAGCCGGAATATAAGCCATCAGAACAGCTAGTCCACACGCAATATGAGCAATTTCTTCACATATACCACTACTCCAGCACATCGCTACTTCTCATTGGCTAAAGCCCGGCGTAGTGTTTTAGCTCTTCGTCTGTTATTGTTGTTGTTGCTGCTGCTGCTGCATCAGGGCGCAGAACTCGTTGTAGTCGATCTTCCCGTCCTCGTTCTTATCTGCCGTTTGGATAATTTTGCAGATTTCGTCATTGCTAATGTGCTTGTTGCCAAGCACATGAAGGATATGCTCGAGTTCGCTGCTGGTGATGAATCCATCATGATTGACATCAAAAGTCTACACAAAACAACAAGTTGGAGCATGTGTAAGTGGCAAGAAATATCGCTGCTAAGTCGGTACTTTAGTGAACGTACATCGAAAGCTGCTTTAAGATCTCCAGCCGTCAGATCCCCACTACAATGAACAAACGTCAGTATCATGTACGTAGGTATCGAGAACTGTGTTCGTACCGACGGAATAGCCGCTCGTTCATCATGCTAACGAACTCGGTGAATGAAATCTTCCCATCCCCGTCAGTGTCTGCTTGCCGCATGATCTCATCAACCTCCGAGCTTAAATCAACAAAATATCATTCATATCCATGTTAGCACAGGTAGCAAAGCGATAAGGATAAAGCTACATGACGTAAACCTTGAAAGTTGCTGACCCAGTGCTAGCAGCATGCCCTTAAGCTCATCTCGATCGATGCAGCCCGATTCATCTTTGTCGAAGAGAGCAAACGTCTCCTTAAACATGTCCATATTCACGGTTGCTGTGCGGCGGGACGTGAAACGCTTTTTATCGTCATCCGAAGCTTTACCCAGTTTCGCATGCTGCACGCCCATGACGACCGCCAAAATGTTGGCTCGAAGTTGTTGCAGGCGCTGATACGATTGAAGTCGTTGAGTGTAGCCGCTGTCAAGGGGCTCCGAAGACGTTGTGATGCCACTCAGCCATGGATGCTGCAGTGCTTGCTTCGCAGTCAACCGCTTGGAGGGATCGGAATCTAGTAGACGCGTCAGAAAATCCTTCGCATCCGCAGTGAGACTCTTGTACCATTTGTTTTCAACTGCATAAGAACAAATCATTGCTCAATACGTATAGCGATCGCTGATCAACCAAAATGGACAATAGAATTCACCGTCATAGTTTCCATTCGCGATCTCCTTCACAATTTCAGCATCGGACTTGTCGCCTCGTGGGTCATACGGGTGCACTCCAGTGAGCGTGATGTACGCCTGGAGCAGGGTCGAAAGCGACATTATAAGTTACCAGCAACAGAAGTGTGGAAAACCAGTGTTATGCTTTCATACGAGAACACCGAAAGCCCACGTGTCAACACCGAAGTCCTGAGGTTGGCGTTTTATGATTTCAGGTGCCCAATACGCGCTACATAAGCAACACAAGCAACGTTCGTCACCTCGCAAATACCGTTGGTACTTTTAAGCGATAGCTTACACTGTTCCATTCGGAAATTTTTCAACTATTTGCTCTCCCTGTCGTTGGCGCCGACTCAATCCAAAGTCCTAACGTCGAAAACACGGCAGCACAACGTCAATAGCTTTTTCGACATATATCACAACAGGAAATTCACTCACAGCTACTTTGACATTTGCCTTGGCAGAGCGATCGGACAGCAAGACATTCTCAGGCTTTAGGTCGCGGTGGCTAAGACAAATACCGCACAATTGAAAAATTAGCACCATGTCATTTTTTGATCGTTGAAACTTACCATACGCCACGGGAGTGCACGTAGTCTAATGCTTGACAGACATCATGCAGTAGGTGAGCCGCGTCTTGCTCTGAGACGGATCCCTATTGTGTGATGCACAAAGATCATGGTTTTAGTCAGCTGATTTCCATCTAAGGATGCAAATTTCAACACTATCACTCGGACCATATCGACGATGTAGTCAAAAAGCTCTCCTCCTTCAACTAAATCCGTCAGCATAATAGTTTCGTCCTTGAGATACAGGACGTCGTGTAGCGACACAATATTTCGGTGTACGCCAAGATACCGCAGAATATCAATCTGTCGCAAGCAAGCAGCTTTTTAAGTGGCCGCCGCCCAAATAGTTATTCAACCGCAACCATCCAAAAGTACCTCTGCCTGAATCGTCTCCGTCGACGAGCTCTTCGGATCAAAAATCTTCGCAGCCAGCATCTACAAATTCAATAAAGAATCAGCTACCCCGCCGCACGAACTCAATCCCAAGTAATACTGACCTGCTTAGTCTGTGTGTCGACAGCAAGACGCACGATGGAAAATCCTTCACCATAAAATAAAAATTTAATAACGTCTTTTCTGCCAAAACAGAGCAGCAGCAGTCAAAACCTCCTCGGCCGAGCTCTTTTAGCAGCGTGTAGTGTCCTCGGTGTTCAAGCTTAGGACTACCCCACCAGGAGTCACCACTAGAGCCACACTCGACGTCGCTGCTGGGCGCATCTCGATGCATCAAGATAGCGACCCCCAAGGCCGTCGCCGTCGTCACGAAACCCACCCAGCCCGTCCCATTGCTGTACGACGTTTCTTTCGGCTTTGGAGGTGGCAAATGCTGCTCTGAAGTTGTCGGTGCCGCCTTTGAGCGCACCGGCGCGCGCGTAAGGCGCTTCAGGAGACGCATCCGCATGTTGCTCACCGTGTCAAAACTGGACTGATAATTGAAGTGTTGGGTGATTTAAAGTAATGGTTAAGTAAGCATAAAGTAACAAAATGTTGAAGTTGAAGTCACTCATCCACGAGCACAGTTGCGCGGCGTGTACGGGTTCACCTCCTCCTCGAACAGGTCGGAGGCGAGCTTGGACAGTGCATGCATGGCCTTCAGGTCCTCCAGTGAGATCTTTTCGCGGGTTTTGGCGTCAACCGTGCACAAACAGGCAACAACGGTGCCGTCGGGTGATTTGATGGGGAATCCGGCAAGGAATCGCACGCCGATATCGCGCACAAGTCGCAGATGACGTAGTTGCGGGTCACGTGTGGGGTCTTTAATGACGAAGGGCTTACCAGTCGCTACAAGTGAGAACGGACACACAGTCACCTCCTCGATCCATACACGCGGAGCACCGGAAGATCCCACGATGCGCTGAGCGCGAGAGCTGTGGGTGTTAAGGGCCACAATGTATGCGATCGAACAGCGCATTCGGATAGCGGCGACCTCGCAGATCGCGTCCAGAGCTGCCGAGTCCAGGTCGTCGTCCAAGTCAAGCTCCGTCTCCAGACTCGTGGTTGTGGTCCATTGTCGCGGCACGACAGCAGGTCTTGAGTATGGCGAGGAGCATTGGTCGCGTGTGCTGCATCGTGATCGCTGTGTCACTTCTTGGAGGTTGTAGAAGGAGTTTGATCGGGTGTCTCTGCTGCTATCATCGCTGAGAGAGATGCTCGAAAGATGCAGACGTGCCTCTAGGTACTTGTCCACCATTTTCCTGTCCGGATACTGTGGGTGAAACACCGGAATCGATGGATTGAGCGTCGAGGATGACGAAGATGTAGATGTTGAGCTCGTTGGTGGCGAGTCGGATGTCACCTGCTTCACCACTTGACGCACGATTTCCAGTGCTCGTGCCCTGGTCAGCGGATCACTTGAAAACAATGCGTCGGCCAGTTGTCGACCGGGTGTGGATGAAAATGACGCCGGGGCGGTAGCTGCGCTGCTGCTTCGATCCAGTCGATGCATTTGCGCCTCAAATGCAGTCCGTGAAGTCGGTGTTTCCTCGGTTAATTGGGAGTTACGCGCATCGTTCGGCTTGAGCAAGATATCGTAGAATGCGGTGGAAATCTTCGCACCTTCCTCGTCCTCTCGATCATTTGTGCTGGTTCTGGCCTCTGCAATCGAGGCTCTATGAAGTGATGCGTTGAGGAGCGGGTTTTCTTGTTGGAACACGCTGGCATCCACGTTGGCCACGCAAGCGAAGCAAAGGCGGCTGCGACGCACTCTGCGTGCTACTGGTTCCACGTCAAACTTTCGCGAACACTCGCGACAGACGCGCTGTGCACAGAGCTGACAGAACCGCTGAGGACGTAGTAGCCCAAAGTTCTTTAGACACACGCTGCATCTACTGTCATGAGCTCTATCATGGCTCTCAGGCAAGCGGAGGAAAGGCTGGTACCCTAAACGGCGACGCCGTATGAGCTGCTCAAACGATGTCGTCGCTGCTGCCAAGAGATTCACGACGTACTTGGCTTCAGCGTTGGCTACTGGTGCTGCATAGTGTCGTCGAGAGGACACTGAGCCAACACCAGGTTGGCCTTTTACCCAGAACCTCGAACGTGCCGGAGATGGGTCAGTCGCTGGACTGTAGACGTACGCAGTCATAGTGATCCGCGTCTGGTGTCCATTTAAATCGCTGTACGAGCTCATGAGGTGATATCCGGCCGCTATATGGTCCAGATCGCCTCGAATCGCCTGCTCTGAGGTACGCTGGTCTCTGCGGTGAGTGAACTTGTCGTGCATGGGTTTTGGTAGAGTCTTCATTGCGTAGAACGCCTCGTTAGCGTCAGGACAGAGCTGCGAGTAGGCCGCAAAGCAGAGTCTTTGGCGACGACTCGTGTGCTTGGCTGCTGCCATTGGATTCAGCGATCGACGCGAGCGCAGCACCACGGATTGCAGTGCAACCCAGCCAGGTTGAGAGAGATCGTTCAAGTCTTCGTCTTCCCAACACGGTGAACTGTCGTCTCCGTAATCCATCGCGAGATTCTTGCGAAACTCGCGTGAGACCAATAGATCACCGCTCTTGTATTTCCTGGCACCGAATAGTGCGCCCATACTGGCATCGAACTGTAGAGCCTCGCGGCTGAACAGCATCGTCATCGCCTCACCCAATCGGCAGTTTAGTGTAACTTGAGCTGATACAGCATAAGTGACGTTGAGGTCGTTCAGCGGCCATTGCAGTAGCTGTCTGGCTCGAATTTCGGACTGGGTGTGCTCTCCAAGACACGCATCTCGAGTGTAGATTGAACCGCGAGACTCGATCATGGAGTGACGAGTGTCAGCAACTCGTGTGGATCCTCGAAACCAGTTGGAGCCGTCGATACTTCTCATTGATGGGAGCTTGGCTCGGTCGAACTCGCTGATCTCGGCGCCATGCTGCTTCTTCTTGACAACCCAGCACGGCGGTTGCTGTCTGTCCGATGGTGACATTTGCCAGACACTACTGCTGCGAAACATGTCTTTACGGTGCTCTACCACAGATCGCAGCTTTGGTACGACGCTCGCTGCAGTGGTGAATAGCTCACGGTCCGTCACGAGTGCGTTGATAGACGATGCAGACAGCAGTGCGTTGCGAGCCGATACTGGTGAAGCTGCGCTGTTGTTGCTGCTCTGGAAGTCGCAGCTACGGATGCTGCCTCGGCAGCTGCTACCCAAGTAGCTGTCCGTCATTAGATAGTTGTAGCTGGAGGTGTCACGTGGAGGTTGATGTCGTCGGCGCTGCAAATCGAAAAGTGAGGACAGCAAAACCACCGAGCGCAATGTTGACGCAGCCATTTTCATGCTAAGAGCTCAGCAAGCTGTGGCGACATCCATCGGAGCTCCATTGTCGACGGCACCGGATGCCTGGCGCGCTTGCTGGCTTGATGCAGAGTGTCTGACCCGTACACAAGCGAAAGTCACACCTTGGTCCCCAGAGTTGCTATGGACTGGAATATGACGAATTATTTCGATGACACTTGTTGAAGTTGCTTCGGTGTTTCTGAACTGCTCGTTACCAGTCATCACCATGATACTTGCTCTCCGCTAAAGCATTGACTCCAAACTTTCAGTGTTACTGTCGTCTCAAATCTGCTTTTGTTGGTTGCCTTTTCTCCTTAGAAGCCTCGTGGTTCGTACTCCAACCCGATACTGTCTGCTTCTGCAGTTCCATGTCCACTGTCAATATGCCACCATCAGCGTTGTCAAGACTAGTTGAGCTCAGTTGCCTCGGTCGTTACGGCCAAGCTCGTCATGTGTAGCAATGGAAACGACCTCGAGTGTCCGCATACGTCGCTCGCCAAGCGCTTCTCGGGGTCTGACTTGAGATTCTATGGCCTTACAGCCTGGCATCTCGACGCGCACGTATGCGCCGTACATCTCCTGTCCAACACTTTTCGCTGCTTCGGTGCTGCATTCGTCGCGACATCGTTTCTTGGCCCACTCGTCCATCCGGGTCTCCGCCACAATCAAGATCGCCGAAGTCGAATACAGTCATCACGTGCAAGTCGTTGATGTTAAACCGGCTAGACTCACTGATGACTGGCAGACAACAACAAAAGGATCTGCATCATCAAGTAGCAAAATGTAAGGAAAAATCACCTTGTACTTAAGAAATAACGGAGACTACAAACTTTTCCAAATGCATTCCGCGATCCGGGCGTGTTCGTCTACAGCTCGTCGTGTTCGTCTTCCTCCTCGTCGTCGTAGTCCTCGTCCTCCGGGGCAGCGCCGCCCTGGTAGACCTTGGACATGATGGGGTTGACGAGCTTCTCGACCTCCTTCTGCTTGGCCTCGAAGTCTTCCTTGTCGGCCTCCTGGTTGTCCTCGAGCCAGTCCATGGCGTCCTGCACAGCAGTGAGCACCGTGTCCTTGTCGTCCTCGTCGATCTTGTCCTCGAGCTTCTCCTCCACGTTGTTCTTCAGGCTGTACAGGTATCCCTCGAGAGCGTTGCGGCCATCGATACGGTCCTTGACCTTCTTGTCCTCGTCGGCGAACTCCGCGGCCTCCTGGACCATGCGGTCGATCTCCTCCTGGGACAGACGGCCCTTCTCAGCAGTGATCGTGATCGTCTCGGCCTTACCAGTGCCCTTGTCCTCAGCAGACACCTGCAGGATACCGTTGGCGTCGATCTCGAACGTCACTTCAATCTGGGGCACACCACGCGGAGCAGGGGGCAGACCAGTGAGCTCGAACTTGCCCAGAAGACGGTTGTCCTTGGTCATGGCACGCTCACCCTCGAACACCTGGATCAGCACAGCAGGCTGGTTGTCCTGGTACGTCGAGAAGGTCTGCGACTTCTTGGTCGGGATAACAGTGTTACGGTTGATCAGCTTCGTCATGACACCACCCACAGTCTCAATACCCTGGGACAGAGGCACCACATCGATAAGAAGCACGTCCTTGGTCAAGTCGTCCTGCTCGCCACCCAGGATACCGCCCTGGACAGCAGCACCGTAAGCGACAGCCTCATCGGGGTTCACACCACGCGAGGGTTCCTTGCCGTTGAAGTAGTCCTTGATCAGCTGCTGCACCTTGGGGATACGAGTAGAGCCACCAACCAGCACAATCTCGTCGACCTCCGACTTCTTGAGGTCAGCGTCCTTCATCACCTTCTCCACAGGGCCCAACGTCTTCTTGAACAAATCCTCGTTAAGCTTCTCGAAACGAGCACGACTCAGGGACTCGGTGAAGTCCTCACCATCCAGAAGCGACTCGATCTCAAGACGAGCCTGAGCCTGAGCCGACAGAGCACGCTTGACACGTTCAGCCTCACGACGGAGCTTCTGCAGAGCACGCTTGTCCGAGGCCACGTCGAGGTTCTTGTCCTTCTTCCACTTCTTGATGAAGTACTGCATGATACGCTGGTCAAAGTCCTCACCGCCCAAGTGAGTGTCACCGTTGGTGGCCAGCACCTCAAACACACCACCGTCAATGGCCAGCAGCGTCACATCGAAGGTACCGCCACCCAGATCGAACACTAGCACGTTCTTCTCGCCCTGAGCCTTCTTGTCAATACCGTAGGCAATGGCAGCAGCCGTGGGCTCGTTAATGATACGCTGGACAGTCAGACCGGCAATGGTACCGGCATCCTTGGTGGCCTGACGCTGGGCGTCGTTGAAGTAGGCGGGCACCGTCACGACGGCGTCGAACACCTCGCGACCGATGTAACCTTCCGAAATCTGCTTCATCTTGGTGAGCACCATGGCCGAGACCTCTTCGGGGGCAAACTGGCGCTTCTCACCCTTGACCTCCACCTCAATGAAAGGCTTGCCGTCCTTGTTCACGAGGTTGTAGGGCAGCAGCTTCTTGTCGGCCTGCACCGACTTGTCGTTGTACTTGCGACCGATGAGACGCTTGACATCGAACAGCGTCTTCTCCGGGTTGATAGTGGCCTGGTTCTTGGCACCATCGCCAATCAGACGCTCGTCGTTCGAGTCCCAGGCGACGTACGAGGGCGTGATACGGTTACCCTGGTCGTTAGCGATGATTTCCACCTTCTGGTCCTTGTAAATGCCCACGCACGAGTAGGTCGTGCCCAGGTCGATACCGATAACGGGGCCGCGCGGGCCCTTGGAGGCGTCGTCGGCCACCACGACGCCGGCGAAGGCCGCCGCCGCCATGAGGATAATCTTCGAGAGGTTCATCCTTCTCTGTGTGCTTTAGCTTCTCGTTGGCGAAAACGATAATGACATTCTTTTAGCTTGGCAACGCGTGGAAGTCAAAAGATCGGAGTGCTTCAAATACAGGGAAGCATACAAATTTCAAGAAAAATGCCGTGCTGACGTGGCTGTGGCGGGTTTCTAGAAACGGGTCTTCTAGAAACCCGCCTAGAATTGACTGCAAATTTGTAAGGTTCTTACTGAAAACAAGTGAACGATTGCCACGCGTCGTTGATGCCCGGTTAAGTGCGAAGATATGTTTGTTGTTGGACGACACGCTACGCCATACACGGGATGATGAAGAACATGTCCAATGCCACACGAACGGATCGAGAACACTCGTGTGGCACATTGTTTTCTGGCAGCTATTAGCTCCCCAGTCTCAGCATTGGGCGAGCATTCAGGCGGCACTGCTAATTCTGCCACGTAATCCAGTGGTCCTAGGTCTGGATCGTACTTAACTGGGGGCAACTCTCCACGTGGCACAAGAACAGCGCAGTGGTGATTTGCAAAGGCACGTGGAGCTGAAGAAGCAGGAGACTGAGGTGGCATGGACAAGAGCAAGCGACTTGCTGTTTACAATGCGCTAGTCGATCTGTAAAAAACGTGGAGGCAGTGCGCAATCGAAGAAGAATCTTACGAACAGCAACAGGCATCTCTACGGTGAAAAGAATATAGATGTTGTAGCCACATCGAGGTTATTGAAATGGAGCATACAACGACACCAATGGTGGTCTTAGACCACTGGTCTAGCCAGTCATGCACTGCTTTACAAGGATTAGTATCTTCCTCTTCACCACTGGCGAGTCACCCGTTCAATGGGATCATTTATTACATGCACTTCAAGTTACAGCTAAGTGGCTACACTCTACTTCTTAGTTTTGATGATAAACCTGAGTTGGGCAGGGAATCTCAAATCGAGAGCCATCGGCAGGAAGGTCACCGTTCGTCTACACGGCACAATTTACTTAAGCATTGCCCATCTTAGATTGTTCTCGCCAGTACTCAGCACGCAAACCAAACCAATTCGGATTTCAAATACGGCCAGCCTACACTTTCGCAGCGATAAAAAAAATCAATCAGACGGATTCGTCGATTACGGTAAGACGGTCCTCCATCACCAAGATCGGGGTCTGACTGACGAGTCGTGAGTCACGACCATGCTGTTAGGCTCGGACGACTTCATATTATATTCAATGGCACAGAGAGTCACGAACTCATATACCGGATTACATTCCGTGATGGCCTACGCCTCGAGTGCCGCGGCAACGGTGCATTTGGCGCCATCGCTAGAACTTCGAGTACCACGTAGTAATACTGAATTAGCTCGGCTCGCTTTCTCCTGTTCCAAATCAACTGCCAGCAATTACTTCTACTATTAATTTATTTCGCCACCTGATTCAATGCGAACAACACCGCACTGCCAAAGATGGATGCAGTATGAAGAAGAAACGCCATTGCTAACTTACCTCTACAGCTATTGATGCAGCTTGCAACCGTGCAAGATCATCTTTAGCCGGTACTAGTACAGCGAAACGGACAAGTTTATGCACAGGTGATTTTTACGCCAAATCCAGACCCCACCACTTCAGGGGACCTGCTCGCAACAATGGAAGTTGTTGTACTCGGTTGCGGTCCGTCGTCGTCGGTGCCGTCCATGCGCTGTGTGCTGAACAAGAACTGCGCCGTGTGTCACGAAGCGCACGTCAACCCTGACTCCAAGAACCGCCGACTCAATCCAAGTCTGCTCGTGCGGAACCTCCAGAACGACAAAAATGTCCTCATCGACTGTGGCAAAACCTTCCGTGAGTCAGCATTGCGGATCTTCCCTCAAATCGGCGTCTCGGCTGTTCACTCGCTTGTGCTGACGCACGACCACGCAGATGCACTGCTGGGAATGGACGACCTACGCGAGGTGCAGGCCACTGTAGAGACTGTCGATCCAGTGACCAAGGAACTGTACAAGATCCCACCAGAGGCCATGAAAGTGTACTGTAGTGAGCTCACGAGTCATGGTGTCATTACCAAATTCCCTTATCTGATTGACAATGAGCCTTTGCCTCCGCCTGGGGAAGCAGTGCCGAAGCCATTCCGATGGACCGCCAAGCTTCAAATTGACGCGTTCAATTCGTGGGAACCGTTCGAGACTTGTGGCATTAAATTCCTCCCTTTTCCTGTCATTCATGGTGCTGGATACACTTCGTTCGGATTTGAATTTGGGTACGAAGTTGGCGCAAGATTCATCTACATCTCCGATGTGAGTGAGATCCCGGAGGAGACGAAGACTTTCTTAAACGATACAAGTAAACCTCCCATTGATGTTTTGCTGATCGACGCGTTGTATCTGGACAAGTATCACAGCACGCACATGAACTTGCAAAAAGTGATGGAGGAGATTGCGACCTTCAAGCCGAAGCGTACGTTGCTTACGGGTATGAGCCACGACTTCGACTACCCCAAGCACAGCGTTGAGTTGCCGAAAATGGGTCAGGAGAAGGGCCTGAACATCGAAATGACCTATGATGGACTGCGTATTGCTCTCCCTTAAAGCAGTGACGCAACTTATAGACCCCACTACGTCAGTTAAAGCCATACTATCATCAGCATGAAGTCTTGCATCATTCCAGGTATGCGCGTCTACACCAGTTATTGACAATAGCAGCTCTACAGTACACGTATCTGCTGCCTTGGGTTCGCATCTACTCGATTGTGTCTGTACCATCCGCGTCCACAGTTGGTGTCTCCGATAATTCTGCGTTTGCATCGACCTCTGTCTTCGTTTCGGTCTCGTCAGACGGCGAAGAAATCAACAGGCCAGCTTCACGCATGATTTCGTCAAAGCCTTCGATTTCCTTAGTCACCGCGTTAGCAGCGCTGAGGGTAGCAGCCGATGGCACCGGGAACAGACGATGGAAGCATTTAATCAGATACGGCACGAGTTCAGCACGAATAACCTGCGAGAGAGCAAGACGTCGGACTTAAGACACTCCTTCTAGCAACAATTGACAGTATTTCGTACCTCATTCGTCGCACGAACAGAGTCTGTAAGTGCTGCTGCTCTTGCATTTCTCGGAGTCATAGTACTATCTCCACTTGAGGCATGCAGATCTAGCCCGTTCTCCTCGACAAAGTCGGCGATTGTGAGCAACATGGTGCCAATTGCACTTTGATACTTCTTGCCCAATCGATTCTGCAGCGACGAGATTGCACACAGTCGCAATTCATTCAGCGACGAAAGCAGTGCGTTGGTAAACTCGGCCAGCAAAGGGAACGACATCAGACAGCGTGGCGGTGAATAGTCTTCCCCATCCGAGGAAGTCGCTGCCGAACGGGAGGCGAAAGGGAAGTTACTGCCACCTCCATTAGAACGGCACGACGCAATGACGATAGGTGTCTTCGAGGACGTCGCAAATGAAGATGCTGCAAGTGAGTGAGCCTTCAGATTCTCCTGAAACTCGCGACAAGCTGCTCGCCAGTATTCTGTCATGAGGTTCAGCACGTGGTCCTCGAAATACACGACCAGTACAGCTCTGAAGTCGACACCGACACGACCCAGTGACCCTCCAAAGAATAAGCTCTGTTCGAGAATTGTGGCAATCGAGCTGAAGTCATCGATCTTTGGTAGTTGCCTGGCCGCAAAGAAACATTTAGCCAAGGGTTGATCGTCGGATAGATGGACTATCAAACGTACTTCATAAGAATCTGGATAAAGTTGGCGACCGTCGCTGTAGCCCAGCGGCACAGCGGAGGATCCACCTTGCCATCAACATTCTACATACACAAACAATATAGCCAATTTGTGAACCATTGCACTAGACAAGACATTGCCTTGTTGCTTGACGTACCTCGCTGCCAAAGATGGCCGAATACTGAGTGATCAAGTCAAACCAGCTCGTCCGCTTGATGTCGATGACTTGGATAATCTACAACCAGTAATGTAAGAGATCGAATTCACTTAAATGGGATCAGTTGAACTTATATGATGGACGTACATATTGATACGGGTCAGACGATGAAATGCCTCGGCTCAAGGAGGACAACCACACATTTCTGCAGGCAAGAAACTCCTCCTTCAGCTGCTTCTCGTACTCCAACAGACCCACCCCTGCAGCTCCATGTTTCTCGATGAGTGCGTCAAGACGACGGAGATAACCCACAATCCGAACACACAGCGCCAGCTGCAGGTCTTCACGCAGCTTTTGCAGCAATTTCTCGCGCATGATCCCGATCATCTCCGCCACCTCGCGCACCAAGCAGTCAATAACGACATTGCGCGATGTCTCGGCGTTCTCATCCGCTTGGAACGCCTCGTTGGCAAACTTAATCACGTCCAGGGCCGAGTCGAATAGCTCGTTGTGGATGCATGCCTCCAGTAGCTGCGGGATCTCCAGCAGCTCCGTTAACTGATTAAGGCATACAACAATAAACGCAATACTTGCAATATGAGTGACAGAGAATTCTGCAATGGAAAATATATCTCTCACCTGCAAATAGTGTTCGAAGACGAACTGGATGTCACCGTGCTTGGCCACGACGTCCGCCACCTCCTTCTGGAACTCGGCGCAGTATTTCTGTAGCTCTGGAATGGCGGCTTCGATCTTGGTAGTCTCCTCCTTAAGGTCCGCTAGCTGTGTGACAGTAAAAAGGTATTGTGAAGGTTTGATTAGAAGACACGCGGAGTAATTATTTCGGGATGATTGAGGAATCTAATGTACGTACGTCATCCTTGACAATTGCAGCGCACTGGTTGCTCTGGATGAAGACGTGGTAGTTCTTGAGCACCAGACTGCGCAGCTGCTCAGCTGTGTTGTCCGCCTGGATCTGCAGCCGCCACGGCTCCTTCTTGAGCTCTTCGAGCGAGCAGGTCTTTAGCGACGCCTGCATCGTCACGGTAATTCTTGAGGAAGCTTAAATATTATGTGGCGTACATAGTTTAATTCTAAAAAATGATATCAATTTAGAGACACCTTTGGATATCTCTTACTTAACTAGTAACTTGTACCAGCAACAGAATCCTGAAGCTTTTTTCAAGCGCGGACACTTCAGTGCCACAAAAAGGATATTATACCGGCCAAACCGTTGTCTTCACAATGCTTTGACCTATGGCTATGATGACCTCTATCTCAGTACAATGTGCAACTTGCAACAATGCCACGTTGCCGATGTGGATGATCACTTCGTGAGCGATGATGGTACAGGCAGGATGAGCTCGAGGCGGGTCGTCAACGTTCATTTTGGCACTGCGAGTTTACCCCATGAACTCGGCGTGAAAAGTTCAAACGGGATCCGTCGTGAAAAGTTCAAACGGGATCCGCTTGGGTTACATACTCAAGAAAAAGAAGTGAATGCGCAAGCTACAGATACCCGACGACAACGCTAGCTTCTTTGTCAGCATGACTCCAGATCTAAGCAGCAATCGAAGCAGCAAAATCTTCTGTAGTTGGCGATTTCTTCGGACCTCGACACTTGGTACCAGCTGCGTGGCAAAACTGAAGCAGGTTGAAGACGTTTCGCAACTTCAACCCCTAACCCGTCGTTTACGTGTCACTCTCGTCCTCGCTATATGGGTTTCACTATGTTGCTTGTGACATATTTACATTCATACTGAAGCTCATATGTACGAGTTCAGCAGCCTTATCTGACTGTTGCCCCGATCTGCGACTTGAAACGCAACAATGACTGTGTACCGGGATCGTGTCTGCAGGAAGGTGCATGTGGCCGCGCCGTCGTCACCCTCGCGGCTGCATTGCAAAATATCCCGCAGTCTCCTCATTGTCAATTTCACATCGGAAGAAGCACAAGCCTCCGCTCTCAACTCCACTCTCCCACAATGCTCACTCGCAACATTCCTTTGGTCTCGCGCTCCGTCGGCACAGTCGCTCGCCGCCACTTCGCTGCCGCCACTGCCTCGACTAGCGTCAAGCGCGTAAAGATTAATGGCCATGGACACGAAGCACAGCAAAGCGGCAAGCTCAGCTACGTGCCCGATGGCTCGGACGGAAGATTCTACATCGAGCAATTGTCAGTACTTACATGTGGCATCGACGCCCCCTCTTTATTTGACTAACGCCGCAAATGTTTTGCTTTGACAGGGATGAACACTGGCGCTCGGCTGTGGCAGGACAGAACTTCAAGAAGGACGATGTCATTGGCTCGGCACCCGGCACTACTGTACGTTGGTAGCGGTCTTCGATGATGATAAGCTTGGATGACTCACTCTTGCGTTGTATCCTTGATACAGTATCCGAAGCCCACCCGGTTCACGGTACAGATCACTCCCGACAAGCACATGGATTTCACTGGTGGATTGGAGTTTGTAAACCACAGTTGCAGCCCCAACACGCGTATCGACATGGCCGAGAACGAAGCCAAGGTATCGTTCATCGCTATCAAGCCGATCAAAGAGGGCGAGCACTTGACATTCGACTACTCCACCAGTGAGTGGGACATGGACGAGAAGTTCGACTGCCGTTGCGGCGCACCAAACTGCCGTGGTCACATTGGCGGAGCCAAGTACCTCAATGACGACGAGGTGGATGCTCGCTTACCATACTTCACGTCGAGCGTATTGCGCCAGTTACTGAACCGCAAGCTGACCAACTAAATCACGGTGGTGATACCAGAACCAATGTGACTTTTCTCAATGTTACCAAAGCTTTGCGTTATTGATCACCAGAGCTTGTACAAATTTATAGCGGTAAATAGACGCTAACGATGACGAAAACTAAGAAAATGATTGTCATTTGCAACAAAATCTCTGGATTCACGATCGTGTAGTGCTTGGTGGATACTTTTCAGGGTTGGAAGCAAGAACCTGCTTCCATTTCTCCAGTGTGTCAATCGCGCCTGTGAGCACTTGTTTGTCCTCAACACGTACACGTACTGCGAACGATAGACGAGGGTTCGCTTCTGTTTCAGTTTTAGCCAGGGTCGCTTCGTCCTCTTCAAGGCTGTCGTAGAGAGAATTCAAATGGTTAGTCAAAATCACAACTACCCAGCAACAAAAAAACACAGAGCATACGTTGTTGGATAGTTCGAGAGCTTGCGGCGACAAGTAGTCTGTAAGTTTTCGTACACAGCCAATTCATTGCGCACGCTAAGGATCGATTTCTCAAAAGCCTAAAGAAAAAAGCGAACAATCTGTCAGTACTCCATGTTTAGCATACCAAATACCGCAATACGGAGACAACAAACCTTTTTGTACATACGAATTTCCTGTTCGTTCATCAGAACCACACGCAGAGTAGCAAGCAATCTCTCATCGACATCATTTTTGAAGAGGGTGCCGCAAAAATCGTATGTCTGGTCGCGTGTGAGTTCGTTCGAGTCCAGGACAGTTTGCTTCAACTTCAGGTACGGGTCGTTAGGTGGAATCTTCATCCAGAAATCCACCGCTCGACGAGGATTCTCCTTTGCAACGAATCCGTAGGAATACAGTAGCTTCGCGTTCGAGTATTGGCCGTAACTGATTTGCAACGCCAATCCCGCCACCACCTCCTTCGGAACATGGTGAGTCAACATCTGCGTCTTCTCATCGAATGAAACGAAGTCGTCCAATGGGTTACGCAAGCTCACGTCGTGGTTAAACATATCCATGGCTGGGCACAGCACACGTATGTATTTCGCTTCTCGCGTCACCCCAAACGCGCGACTCCAGATGACGCTCATGGCCCAAGTATAGTCGTCCAGTGTCAGAGTCGGTAGCGACGCAAAAATCTCGGGGAAATCCTCCGCCACAGCTTGGTGGATATTCTCAAAGTCCCTCTGCAGTTGCTTCTTCATCAACTGCGTCAGTAGCAGCACATTGGTGCCCTTTAATTCGTTCAGCTCGGAATCCGACCAGAAGACCGGAAGGTCGAACGTCGTGGGTAGTGACGCAATGAATGGAGCGAAGAATGAATCGTTGCTTTTGCTGCGCTCGTGCATCAAATGTAATGCTAGCACCTCGTCGTCCGGAATCTGTGGGTACTTTTCCAGTACGGGGGCAAGGTCGGATTTGGCAGCGGACTCGGTGTTCATCGTGAGCTTGAACGGAACACGCAGCGTTACTTGGCCGCTAGTCAACGCCTGCTTAGCGAACACACCATGGCCCTCGAGTTTACCGAGGTACCGAATGTCCAGCAAGCTGTCGACGCCTCCATGGGCCTTGAGCCACTCCAGTAACGTCGTCACCACTGCAGGTGAGTTCATGGTCATGAACTGATGGTTCACGGTGTAAATATCAATTGTTACAGTTGGTTCATTTTTATAAATTTGTATAAACTTTCAAAACGGATCATTTCGGTGGTCGTATGTCAAAGAAAATCTTCAGAGGCCGGCATCGTGCAATAAGTCACTGAGGATCATACTTGCGATCCGTTGCTGTAGTTCTTCGTCTTGCTGGATTTGTAGTGACGATAGGATGGATGTGTTCTTGGCTCGGGAGATTGGCGTACGAGGTCGAGTGGGTGGCATTGTCGTTGAGAGCTCCTCGGTCCTTCTGCTTATATCTGATTGAACTTTAGCCACGATGCTGCTCACGTTGGACGCGATGCAGTTTTGAGATAGTAGCACGTCAGTGGTGAGTCCTGTTTCGGCGCCTGATTCATCCGATATTAACTGGAGTTGTCGCTCCAGTTCATGTTCGGGTTGTGCTCGGATTATCAACAGCTCCTCGATTTTGGCTTGGACGTGGCGGTGGACAACTGCAAGCACCGACGCACTGTCAAGCGTACGCTCATTTGATAAAGACTGTTGGATTGCACTAAAGCAATCACAAGCGATGGCCTCAACGCTGTCGTAGAGGACGCGAGCGTTGTAGGAGTCATTACCGACGGCAAAACTATTGAGCGCTGGAAGACGAATCTGTTTATTCATTGAAAAAGTGTTAGAGAAACAAGTATTAGCCCAGGAATTGATAAATTGGAGTCGTACCTCTCCGTCAAAAATCTCTAGCTGATCCAGGATTCTTCGTGTTATGGCAAGATCACGGGCTCTTGGGTCCTGACGGGGAATGGGCATCTTTAAATCGGGCGTCGATTTGGCTGGTGATGGTGAAGTTGTTCCACTGCGTTTGATAGCAACCTGTGGGCTGCTGGTAGATTTATCCGTGGGCTGTCGGCGAGACCATTGCTGCAGCTCGGAGCTTATAACTTCGTCGAATACAGTTGCGAAAATTGCATCTGCCACACGCTCGCTTAGGTGTATCTTGTCAGTGGCATCGATTGTTTCGCGTTGTTTTTCTTCAGATTCGTTTTCGGGTTCTCTTTGTCTATCAACCTTCACAACTGATCCCATATATTTCGTTGGATTCTTGCTTGAGGATACTTGAGTAGGTGAGATTTCTGTCGATAATTCATCGTCTTCCTTGAAATTGAAAGAGCTTTCATCATGGAAGGAGTCAGCATACATCGCTGAATTTGAATCTTCAACGCTCGCAATTTCCTCCTCGTCAACACGTTCGCCCAAATCTTCGATAGGTGGCTCCATTCTAGTCGACTCTAGAATTATATTTTCGGAAGACTGATCCACATTCCAATCCGCTGTGTATCTGGAGTCAATACTGTCGTCTCCTACGTCACTCGTCTGAGCATTGGCATTGAGTTCATCGTTGACTGAAGCAGAGGGTATCTGCGGAATACCTTCTACACCTAATAGTCCGGTGTTCACCTCCTCCTGCGGTTTATCTTGGACAGTTCTTTTGGATCTAATGGCAGTCATTATGTCTGAGCGAAAGCAGAATACACAGTGTCAGTTTTCTGTATTCAAGTAATAGAACGTATGCAAACAAACCTTCTTCGACTTCTTGGAATAAGTCAGCGTACAGCAGATCAGTCACTTGGTCCACATGATCTTTACCTGGAGGAGCGTCAGATGGATGAAGCTCGTTGGACAGTGGTGACAGTAGATCTGCGCTAAGCAGATTCAACTGTTGGTCCGACACAATATCCTCATAATTATCCGATTCAGGGGGCTGGATATCAGTTTCGTGTTGAATCACACTGCTGCCTTTATCGTCTTTTTCAAGAGGGTGTGTATCCACTGAGGTGGTCTCATAAGATAGAGCTTTGTCCTCTGTAAATTCTGTACCGTGCTCGTCATCATCTGACTTGACACTTCCACTTTCAGCAGCTCCACTGCTTCCTTCGCTCAAACAACTCTTTGTTCCAAGGATACCGGCTGTTGATTTATACTCGTTGAAATCGCCAGACTCAGCAGCCTCGACGTAGGCATATCCTTCAAGCAAGTCGAATCCTCTAATTGTATGATCCCGTCTAGGCAAACTTGATTCATATCGTTCCTGATTGTGAGTGGGTTGTGCCTCCTCGATATAGTCAAACCCGAGCAACATATTACTTTCTTGTTCATATACTTTTTTGTTGGAGTTCCTGTCGACGAAGTTCTTCATCTCTCTCGCTTTGAGATGCATCATTTCCAACCGGTTGCGTTGTTGGCTCAATGCCAATGCCGCTTCGTCAGCACGAAGTAACCTCTGGACAGACTCCATCTCGTCCCATAGAAGTTTCTCTTCAGCGACGAGCTTCTCTCTACGCCGCTCGACTCTCATTTGCTTTTGAACGGCAAGTATTTCAGTCTTGCGGACTTCAATCCGCTGTTTTAAAGCTTCAAGTCGAGCGGATCGCTCTTCAATACTCTTTGTAAACGATTCCGCTTCGTCAGAACGTGACAGCGAGACTGACACTGAAACATCCAACAACCTGCTTTCGTTCGGAGCAGACTCAGCGTGATCCGGCGCATGTTTTGCAGGGCTCACAGGCTTCGAAACTTGTTCATCTTGAAGCTGCGCCTCGATATTTTCAATTGCTTCCGAAAGCTCTTCTTCTTTTGCACTCTCCTCCTTAGTAGGCTCTACAATCTTCGTGATTGCAACCTCAGCATTCGATCCAGTGGCTTCTTGTTCGCCAACAACATTGTCTGCATCGTCGTCAACAACGCTTTGAACTACATCCTCGTTAATATCGGATTGGGGACTGGGAACGTCAGATGTAACCTCAACACTTAAATTTTCGGCTTCCACTGCATCAGTTTTGTGTGCGGCACTGTCTTCCAAAGCCTTGTCGCTACCAACTTCTACTGTATGATGCTCACCATTCTGTACATCTTCAAACGACTCGGCGTCGTATTCGTCTTCCATAACCTCATCGCTATCAACTTCTGCCGTATTATGCTCGTCGTTCTGTGCCTCTTCAAACGACTCGGCGTCGTATTCTTCATCCTCTACAGCCTCATCGCTGCCAACTTCTGACGCATTATGCTCGTCATTATGTACCTCTCCAGCTTCGTATTCGTCGTCTTCCTCAGCCTCATCGCTACCAACTTCTGACGTATTATGCTCGTCATTCTGTACCACTTCAAACGACTCGGCACCGTATTTGTCGTCCTCCACAACCTCATCGCTACCAACTTTTGACGTATTAAGCTCGTCATTATGTACCTCTTCAAACGACTCGGCGCCGTATTCGTTGTATGATTCTTCAACTACTGCAGATCTGTCAATAGCGTTCTTGCCGAATAGTTTACTCATCACTGAAGGTGTTTGCTTTTTACGCTCCTTAGTAGAAGCTACATTTTCGCTGATCTTTAGAATTGGATACGTCTCCTGCAAGGCGTCAAAGTCACGAGCTAGATGCTGTGAAATCTCATCTTTTGCTCGACGCAGTTCACCCTGCACATCCACTCCAAGTGCCAGTTTCGCAAAGAGATCCACTCGTCGCTTCTCTTCTTCGCGACGAAATACCTCTTTTTGCTGACTTAAAATCCGCTCTTTCGCCCGCAGCAATTCTTCGACTTTGGCTTTCTTGTTAGCTATTTTGTTTTCTTCAGAGCGAGCGTTGAAAGTCGCATTTGCCGCCTCTTGTAGTGCCGCAACCTCGGCGACTAATAGATTTGTCATGGACGAATCTTCGGAGCTCGAATGTCCCACTTGAACGCCTACAGATTGCTCTTCTAGTATAGGCTCAATTCGAGGCAGTGTAGACTCTTCCAGATGTTCACTTTCAAAATTATCAGTCGAGTATTCCCTTTCATCCGATCCGCCAATTTCATCACCAGAAGCACGGGACTCATGCTCACTATCACTCGAGATTTCACCAGTATCAATTGCCTTCTCGTGTTCTTCATGCTCTTCAATCTCCGACTCATCTACGGCCGAGTTATTAGCTAGGTCAGTAGTTTGGCCTTGGGTATTCTCACTGACAGACGCGAAGTCGTCATCGTACTCGCTATCACCGTGTACACTGGCTTCGTTGTCTTCTTCCCCTTGTTCAACAATCTCAGTATTTTCAATTATTTCAGCTTCGACGACAATGCCCTTATGGGCAGAAAAATCTTCACTCATCGACACAAATGTGTCGTCTTCGTATTGCTCTTCTTCATATTGTTCTTCTTCCTGCACAGAAACTGACTTGACTTGATCATGCTCATAATCATCTTCTTCTTCGGCCACCTCCGACGTCCCAGAAACGTTACTGGGTTCGTTTGTGTTGTCTTCTGTTTCAGCTTCGACAATGATGTCCTTTTGAGCAGACAAATCTTCTCTCATTGACACAAACTTATCCTCGTATTGTTCTTTCTCCTCCTGCACAGAAACTGACTTGACACGATCATTTTCTTGCTCATAATCTTCTTCTTCGGCCACTTCGGAGATTTCAGGCACGTGATTGGGTTCGTTTGTGTTGTCCTCTATGTCTAATTGCTGCGAAACAATGACATTTTCTGTTTCAGTTTCGACAATGATGTCCCTTTGGGCAGAGAAATCTTCACTCATTGACACGAACGCGTCGTCTTTATATCGTTCTTCCTCTTCATATTGCTCTTCTTCTTCCGGCATAGAAACTGACTTGGCACCATCACTTTCATGCTCAAAATCTTCTGCTGCCACTTCTGAGGATCCAGGCGCGTCACTGGGTTCATTATCATCTACGTCTGATAGCTCTGAAGCACTGGATCTTGACTCTGCTTCGACATTTGTTTCACCACTCTTCTCTTCAACAGAATCTCCAGCGGCTTCCTGACTCATTCCACGGACATTTGCTTTCATTTTAGGTGAGGACGCCTCAAAATCATCATCATAGTCCGTTGCTACCGACACCGACTCATCAGCTTTAGCTTGACTCGATTCATTGTCGTGAACTTCATCATCAATGTCCGCACTCACTGCCGCACTCTCTTCAGCAAAACTTTCCTCATAGGCAACGCTGTCTGCTACACTCGACTCCATGTAATTGTCATCCGCCTGGTCAGAGAGCACGGATTGAATTTCACTGTCACTTTCATTTTCACTCTTGGAAGTGCTGTGAGTTAGCGATTCCGCTACGGAGGGAACATCGGTGGCGCTTGTTGTATCGCGAACCTGCTGGCCTGCATGTACTTGGCTCTGGTTCTCGAAAGTCTCGTCATAAACGTCATCCTCTTCCTCACTCGCGTATTCCAACTTATAATTCGATTCGGTCACGGGAGATACTTCCATCTTTTGCTCAATATTATCGTGCTGAACTGCAGCATCAACACCAAATCGAATCGGTGACGTAGATGTATCAACGCACAGAGCTGCATGGGTAGCAGCATCAACGCGTTGCGAGGACTCTGTCTGTACGCTGCAGTCTCTCAAATTGGCTAGTTTCAGTTCTTGCTCCAGTCGAGCCTCAGTAGCAACTCTCTCCTGTTCTTCCACTTGTCGAAGTGTATCCAGTTGCTGCATCACGTCTTGCATGTCACCGTCAAACTTTTTCTCCAGCGTAGCGTGATCCAATGCGAGTTGATGAGACGTTGCGTTATTCTCCATCTCTTCTTTAAACGCCTGTGCAAGCGTGATGGTTTCAGCTTGTACTGTCTCCAATTCGTGAGCGTGTTCCATCATGGACAACTGGATATGTGCGTCGAAGATTGCTTCTTGGTAGTCTACAGCTGCCATCAGTCTCTTTGACAGAGTTCTGGGCGAATGCACCCGAGGTGGACTGTCAATACTTTGCTCATCATCACGAAGGCGAGATTCTCGCTGAGCTACGAGCTCCGAGTCGTCAATTTCAACGCGAGGC